AAAAAAAAAGAAAAAAAAAATATATACATATATATATATATATATATATATATATATATATATACATAGAAAGCATAATTTTAAATTTCTGCATGACTGTCCATCTTATAGAGGGTCCATAATTCATTTAATCATTCCTCTATTATTGGGCATTTAGTTTGGTTCTAATTTTTCACTATTGTAAATAATGGCTGACTTCTAGGTAAAGATGGTGCATTGAACACTCATCAACTTTACTCCCTCTCAGAACCCAACAAAAACTGCAGTAAAGCAATTTTTTTTAAGGCAACAACCTTCAAGGATGGAGGGGACAAAGGGGACAGGAGCAACACAACTCTGGAAGTTATAAATGGTAAATGACTCAACAGACCAGGGACGCCCAAATCTTAAGCCAGTTTTGGGGAAAGCTGAAAACTAACCCAACTGAAATGGCAGAACCCTCAGAAAGCTCCGTGTTTAGTGGTACCAGAACCTCTAGAACTAGGTGAAAGTGGGGATTCATAAAAACCAGGTTTGATGGAAAGCTGTTTTAGAAACACATATTCATACCCCTCCCTCACCTGCTGCTTCTGGAAAACTGCCTCAGTCAAGCACTAGCTAGAGTGGTAAGAAAGGCCAGAGAGGGTACAAGTGGATTCCACACTCAGATGAAAGCGTGAGCACTTCCTGAAAAGAAGCACATAGGCACTGCAAAGGTTGAATGCCATCAACTCCCTCTGTCCCCCTTTTGGTTCCCAGAATGCTAGCAACCAGCCTTTACCTTCCAGATAACTGGAAGAGTTTCCTCTGAGAAAGCTAATCACCCAGGAAGAACGTCCTAAAGATGCTGAAACCCCCTACAAAGGCCTAGGCAGATCACTCTGCAGCAAAGTAAAAGGCCACACACCTCACCACGGCCAATCAGCTTTTAAACTACCTACCCGGGGGTGCCTCAGAAGAAAAGCCTGGTGATCTACTTCCAAAAAATCAGCCATTGAAAACCCTATGAACACACATGGAGTCGCCATGAGTTGGAGTCCACTTGATAGCAACTTTTTTTTTTCCTTAAAGAAAACTAAGCAAATGAAAAAAGGTAAAATTAGCCAGGGGGGAATAATCAACTGGAAGAAAAACAAAATTAAAGGAAACTTAATGACAGTGGACGACAATGCTCTGCTGTGAATAATGTTTGCACAGGCATGATCACATAAGCATTAAATATTAATTTGGTCAAAAGTGGTTTTTAAACTATATTAGAAAAACGAGAAAAGATGATGGTACAAGGAGGCTAAATCCTCATTTACCATTATAAAAAATTAATAGACAGTGTTTAAAATGGATACATCAAAAGACAGTATTACACAGATTTACTCAGAAACACAGAGGTTTGTAAATGCTAGATGAAACAAATTTTAGTTTTTTTTAGAGTAGAAAAGTATCTCCCTCTGAGGGGGACCGGGAGAATGGGAATTAGTGGGGCAGGGAACTCTGTTTTTACTTCTTTAGGACTACTGTATTTGACTTTTTAAACAAAGTGTATGTATTACTTTGATAAAAGATTTTAAAAGCATTTTGCAAAACATCTGTACTTTGACCATATCTCTGATCATTTAGTTTTGAACAAGTTCCCAGAAACAGTACTGAGGTGACCATCTTGTAAATGATCAGGGTGGCTGAACTTAGAGGCCAACTGAGAGATCACTTACTCAGCCTGTATCAGTGTCTACTATATGTAAAGCCTTTGAGACACTACATCTGATCAGATGGTTGACGGTGACAGAGAGACTGGAATGAATCTGTACGGAAGGGCAAAGATTCCTTCCAGGAAAGTGCGGCAGAAACCATTTCTACAAGACAAGTAAGCATGGCTAGATCTGGAAACCAGGTGACTAAGAACACATTATACCCTAACAGATCTTGACCAAATGGGATTTATCAATGGAAAATCAATCCGTGTAATTCAGTCTATCAACAAACTAAAAACAAATGGATGCAGCAAAAGCACTTAATAAAATGCAATACTCATTCATGATTAAAAAAAATCTTAGCAAAGTAACATTAGAAGGAAACTTCCTCAGCCTGTTAAATGGCACCTATGAAAATACTACAGCTAACATACTTCATGGTGAAAGACTGAAGGCTTTTCTTTCAGATTAGGAGCCAGGCAATCACGTCTACTCTAATGACTTTTATTCAACATTGTACTGAAGTCCTAGCCAGTAATAAGGCAAGAAAAAGAAATAAAAGTCATAGTTTATTCACACATGACATGACAGTTTATGTAGAAAATCCTAAAGCATTTACCAAAAAACAAACAAAAAAACCCAAAAACTAAAATTAATAACTCAATTTAGCAAAGTTGTACGATACAGGGTCAATATATGAAAATCAATTGTATTTCTAGGTACTAGCAACGAATACTTAGAAAACAAAATTTAAACATTAATACCATTAACAAGTGGTAGCATTAAACAAAATACTTTGCCAGCATTTTCCTCCTACTCACTCTTCTCCCTGCCCTTTCTTCTATCACTCTGCATAGTCTGCAATATAATAAACTAACATTTCTTATAGGTGGAAGGAAGATGCAAAACCGTAACATTTTCTTGTAAAACCCCAAAGCCTTGCTAATATCCTCATCTTACAAAGCGGGGAGCCAACAAGTAATGAAGGTATTGAAGTTATTAAGGGTATTAAATAAAGGACTTAAAGTTGCTGAGGGAAGTAACAGGAACTAAAAATTGTTTCATAAACATATTTAAAAAATGGAGGAAGAAAGAAGGTATTCTAGTAGTAAATGTCAGCTAAATCCTTATTATAAATATCAGCATAAACATATTATTTAATAGAGATAACTATAAACAAACAGCTAAAAGAGTTAAAACATAGTACCCTCTGTGGAGAAAGACTGGAATGGGGTGAGAAAGGGTGGGTCAAGGAAGTGTTCCTTTTTAGCTGAAGTCCTTACGTTCTAGATGATGTTTTGAAAATCAGGTGCATACACTACTTTGATAGAAATAAAATTATTTAAAAAAAAAAAAGCAAGACCTAGAAGAAAGCACGAAACAAGCCTGTCACTAGCACAGATTATCACTGTAATATTCCTATTTTGAGGGAAATCTAACAATACAGCTCATGAGACACCCTGAAAAGGAGTGAAAGACCCTCTGAGATCATAACTACTCAGTTCAGGAAAGTATAAACTATAAATTCCCAGTCTTCTATGAAACAAGATCATTGCCCTCAACAGAATCTAACAACCAAAATAAACTGAAGACAGTTTTGAATCTAAATTCCTTTCCCCTTTTGCTCAAACCTACAGAGAAACTTTTCATATCAAGTGTTTTAGGCGAGACATCCTATCAAGAACAAAAAACCACCAGAAGAAAAAAAAATTAAATGGAAAGTTAATACAACTCAAAAGAGTTCAATCATTTAACAAGAAAGAAGAGGGACGGCACGCAGGTAGTCCCCATCTACCACGAATTATGAGTTTCCCACATTTGGGGAAATCGCAGGGGTCAGCACATCCGGAGTGCAATGGATGAGCCTTGCCCTCGGAAAACCACCTTAGTGATCATGGTATTTCCCCTGCCAGGTAAGTATGAGTTGCTTTCCCTGCCTGGCAACCTTACCCTTAGCATCAAACCATGCAAAAGATAGGGTCACTCTCTTCACGAAAACTCTAGATCTTCACTCACAAAATAGACTTCTCCAAACTGAAAGAGCAAGACAATAACATTTTGAATACTTGAATATTTACTAGAATCCCAAGAAATGCATGTACAGGGTGAACAAGGCCAGCAGCTACTGTGTTCATCTATATACTCCAAGCCCCTTTCGGTGATGTCATTTTATGACTCCTGACAAACCTATCTGCTGACTTTGTTGATGGGATAGGCTGAATAAACGGCCTACCAAAGATGCCCTCATGCAAATCCCAGGAACCTGAGAATGTTACTTTATCTGGCAAAAGGGATTTTGCAGGTGTGATTAAGGATTTTGAGAGGGGAAATTATTTGGGTGGACCCAATGAAGTCACAGGGTCCTTATAAGAGTGAGGCAGGAGGAGGGCCTAAGAAATAGAAAATGCTAAGGACACAAAAGACGTCAGCAAGATGCTGTCTCACTGACTTTGAAGATGGAGAACAGGGCCACGAGTCAAGGAATGTAGGTAACCTCTACCACCAAAAACCAGTTGCCCTAGAGCAGATTCCAACTCATGATGACCCCACATAGATCACCAACACTTTTTTTCCTGAGGCATCCTAGGGTGAACTCTAACAGCCGACTTTTTGTTTAAGCAGCTGAGCACTTAACCATTTGTATCACCCAGGGCCCTAGTCAACATCTAAATTAAAAAACCAAACCCACTGCCATCAAGTCGACTCTGACTCACAGGGATCCTCTAACTGCCCCATATGATTGCGTAGACTGTAATCTTTACCAGAACAGCTGCAGGGCTCCCACTGCTAACCTTTTGGTTAGCAGCCAAGAGCTTAAACTAGGACTCCTTCAACCAACTTCTAGAAAGTGGAAAAAGAAACAGATTTCTCCAAGAATTGCAACCACACAGATTCATTTTAGACTTCTGGTCTTGGGATTGTAATATTATTCTTGCTTCAAGTTACTATATAATCCACGTTAGTGTCTTACACTTTCTAGAAAAAACAATATAAAGAAAGATTAAATAAAAAGAAAACATACAAAAAAAAACCTTCTAAACTGAAAAAAACTGAACTATAAAAAAAAAATACCTCCTCTTTTTTAAGAAAGAAAAAAAAAAAAGAGTCTTTTAGGCAGGCCCCCACTACCACAAATTCTGCAGCCAGGTTTTCCCTCATTTATGGAAATTGCAGATCAGTACCTCCCAAATACAACAAACAAACCTAACTCTAAGAAAAACGACCTTTGTGACCACAAAAACTCCCCTCTGCAAAATAAACACAAAGTGTTCTTCTTGCCTGGCACCTCACCCTCAGATCCAAACCACCTTACCGATAGGATCGCTCTTCTCATGCGGTCTCTAAACCTCTCACTTCTGGATACAAAATTCCTACAGTATAATAACTATACAGAAACATTTTGTATGTTTTATATTGCCAAAATCCTAAGAAATGTATGTCGAGTGTAAGCATGACCAGCAGTATCTGCTTTCTATCTACATATTTCCCGCCCCTTTTGTGATCTCATTCAGACCGTCCATCTTTTCCTATTTTACTTCGTGGTGATATTCAAATAAATCTTAAAAGTAAAGACACTCTAGAGATTTAAACGCAAACAACTTAAATTAGCTCCTGCCTTCAGGCGCTTGGTGCTAACGACGCCACTCGATTCAGACGCAGTCTATTAAGCCGTTATCTACGTAACCTGAATGCGCACGTCTTAAAACACGCAATTTGGCAAGGCTACATTAGAAAATTCAGTCTGCGTACTGCTAAAAATAGGTTGAGTCAGTCCAAAGCGTCGAGCATAAATACAAAATTCTCTGTTTCAAACATGCAGCAATTGATCGCCCTTACGTGAAAGATCATTTGTACAAACACTAATTCTAATTTTGAACGACGCTAACGAGGGGAAAAAGTACGCAGCGTCCCCTGACCACACAGGGGAAAACTCTGGGGTCAGCACACCCGGAGTGTAATGGATGAGCCTCACCTCTGGAGGCCACCTTTGTGATTGAGATCAGGGTATCTCCCCCCACCCCACCCCCGGCCCCCTCAAGCAAGAAAAAGTTGTGTTTCGACGCATCTTAGACCTACGCTACATGCATGGAGTCATTCGTCTTTTTCACAGGTGTTTATGAAATCGAGAGCAAGACTACTGGAAAATCCATTCTACAAGAAAACACTTAATAAGACTCTTCAAAATGAGCAAATTCTGTCTCAGGGAAAGGTTAACAATTTACATATTCCATACTACATCATAAAAATTACAGCCTTCTCAACCTTGTCCTTCCTCACTGTAAATTGGAATTGGAGTTTCTAAATTTATCAGTGTTCTTCAATTGTCTCTCTAAGATCACACTAAAACCAAAAATCCAAACTCGTGCCGTTAAGTGAGTTCCGACTCATGGTCACCTCATGTGTTACAGAATAGAACTACTCCATGGGGTTTTCTTGTCTGAAATCTCTACTTAAGTAGATAGCCAGGATTTTCTCCCGTAGAGCAGCTTGGTGGGTTGAACCACCAACCTTATGTTAGCAGTCCAGTGGAAACTGCTTATGCCACCCACGACCTAGAACCACCAGGGACACTAGAATCCCCGTATTTCCCAAATCTTTTTATCTTACAGAAGGGCTCTTTCAGTATCTTCTGCCAAAATAAATTAGTCAGAGTTTTATATCTTTAAAACAGGAAGAAATATGCTGTTTAAAAAATCTTATTAGAGGTTAACAAGTAACAACTGAGAACAGAGGTTTCTGAGATGGGGAAAGAAAGAAATATTGGGGCAGGGTAGTGGGATTCTGTGATGTGAGCAGAAACTATTCCTCAAGTTGGACTTCTGACAGTCTATGATCAGTTTGATTTTTATATACTTTCTCCCCTAAAAAAGTATTGTTTATATAATACATATGTACATACATACACACATACACACACACACACACACACATATATATACACAAATATGTACATATATATAAAACATCTAAATTTTCTTTTGTGAAATCAAAGATACCTTGAAATCTGGTTGGGAGCTACTCATGTACGGGGAGGGGGGAGAAAGGTGGTGTCTGTGAATTAGACTACTATTACCACCAAACAACTCTTAAATCCAAAACTCCATTTCAGAAGGATTGTGACTAGCAATGCCTTCTTAAATTAGTAACGGAACCCTTACAGGGCCTATAGCGTTCACAAAGCCCAGTTCCAACATTCCACAAGAACTTAATTTTTACCGGCCTAGTAATCAAAATATCCATTCAAAAGAATCTGCCTTAGTGCAAAAAAGAGGTGATTGTCCTTCACTCTCTTGAGGCTCATGCAAGTTAAGAAAAACGTTAGTGCTATAATCCTTAAAGAAGTCCTGCAGACCTTAATATCCTTTGAGGAGAGCCTCTATATTTCTTTGATTAGAAAAACATAAGGAAACATACGTTTGTTAAATACTAACATACATTAGTAAGGCTGTTCAATAGTGTAGAAAAAATGGAGACCATTCTTAGCTCTTTTTACAAAGATTGTGGAACTCTTCTGCCAAACCAGACAAAGCAGGCACAATAACAACTGCCTATGAAAAAAAAAGCAAAACTATCAACTAAATCTACAAAATCTTTGTAAACTGAATCCAGTAGGACATTAAAGAACATACACAATGACTAAATAGGTTTTATACCAGGAATATAGGACCTAAGCACATAAACAAATTTAGTGTATGTAACCAACTAGTTGCTGTCGAGCTGACTCTGACTCATGGTGACCCCATGTGTGTCAGAGTAGAACTGTGCTCCACATATTTTTCAATGGCTGATTTTTTTATAATCAGATTGCCAGACCTTTCTTCCGAGGCACCTCTGGCTGGATATGAACCATCAACCTTTCAGTAAGTAGCCTAGTGCTTAACCATTTGTGCTATCCACAAACTCCAGTATACGATAGAGATAGCATTTAATATAGGTGGGAAAAAGGATTGATTATTGCATAGAGTACCGAGAAAACTGGCTCATCACCGGAAAGAAGGAAAAAACTGATTCCAACCTCCCACCTTAAGGATCCCTGGTGGCACAAATGGTTAAGCGCTCGGCTGCTGACTGAAAGCTTGGTGGCTTGAACCTACCAAGTGGCTTTGAGGGGCCAACACCTGACAATCTGCCTCCATAAAGATTACAGCCAAGAAATCCCTGAGTCAGTTCTACTCTGTCACATGGGGTTGCCATGAGTCAGAATTGACTCGATGGCACCTAACAACACCACCTCCTACCTTATACAAAAGGTATGTATATACATTAAAATATTCAAGTGTAAATAACAAACCATCTAAGTTGTAGGGAGAAAAAATTAACTTGTGTGCATCAAAGAATATTATCAGAAAAATGAAAAAACATAGAATGGGAGAAAATATTTGGAAATCATATATCTGTTAAGGTTTTAATATCCAAAATATATTTAAAAAAAAACTCAACAACAAAAAGACAACCCAATCAAAAAACGGGCATGAAAATATCTCATTATTTGAATACTTAGATTAACTATAGACATTAACAGCAATAGTTGCTTCTATCTTTAGTATTATTATATTTAGATAGCAACAAAAGTCAGAACACAATGCAAGTTAGCAATGCTGGATAATGATTCTGATAGATTACAGGCTCCATGAAGGCAGAGACTCTGTCTTGTTTGCCTTATCATTTGGCACATAACTACCATTTAATAAATATTTAATCTTGCTTCAATGATCACCATCTTCAATGTGTTAATCTTAAATGCAGACCACTGTAACTATTCATAGGATTATTGTGAGGATCAAGTCAAATAAAAAGAAACTCTATTTTGGCACTTTTACAACCATAGGCATTTTAAAAAAACATCTCAGTATTAGCACTCTGCTGAGGTAGGTGTTCAATAACAAGTTATTCAATTGAATACACAAGTAGAATGTTTCTAAATGGAGAAGACGACCAAGATTTATTATGTAGATTTTCTGTGCCAAGTACTTCACATTTATTAATCTTTTCAACAATTCCATGAAATACTATTTTCTTCACACAGGTGAAGAAACTGAGTAACTTGCTGAAAGTCACATACCTGGTAGCTTTCAGAGATGTGATTCAAAGCCAAAGCCCATGCTAGTTAGCTTACCAACAACAGTCTCTCTCAAACTTTTTCATCAAGTAACCCCAAATTGCAAAAGAAAATAAAAACATATCCCTTGGAGTTTTTGGGAGACTACTGAAGTAGACTGAGTTGTCTTTGAGGTCTTATATGTTTCTTAAAATCTATTTTTATATTTTAATTTTTTTCTACAATATGTTAGTGCTTGCTTAATATAAAACATTTTAAATGACTTATCAGTTAAATCATTTAACTCTTCTCGCCCTAAAAAGTATGAGTAAGAATGACACGATAGGAAGGTGCATCTTCCACATGTACCCCATAGCCTTGTTTAGTTCCTACTGCATGGCCTCATAAACCTGGATCCTAGCTTGAGAACACGACTACACAGCAAACTGCATAAAAGAAATCTTAAGAATGATAATGATAATGAAAATCACTACAGCAATTCAAGGTCAGAATAAGTATTAGTAACACCTAACTGGATAGCCACAGATAGTCTGACCAGTTTCTTAACCCTCCACCGTCAACAAAACAAAACTGCAAACATCACCGAGTCCATTGAGTTCGACCAAACTCAAGAGTTGTCCTTAAACGTGACCATCTCTTCACCCAAGGACCTGGTTCCTTTATAAGCATGAGCATGAATTCTCCCTGTGGACAACATTTATGATGCCCACTGAGTGCCCAGACGTAGACCATAATAAAAGCTGTGTACGGAGCAGAGAAGTCGCATTTTCACAAGTCCTACCAGATTTTCCCTGCCCGAGTAGACGAGGTACAAACATTTCTCGCATTACCCGCCCCCCCCTGGGGGGGGCTCACAATTTGAAGAGGTAGCTCAGAGTAGTAAAAAGAATAAAACCCATAGACATTGAGTCGATTCCGATTCATAGGTTTGAATTCTCGCTTCAAGAAAGCTGCCCTCTGAGTTCCCAGGTCCTTATTTTCCTTATGGTGTGGTTGTGAGCATTTGAAACCCGTGGGATTTGCTTAAGTGCTCAATATGTTGTTTCTTTCCTTAGATCTTCTCTAAGGGGACTGATTTGCAATATTTAGGGAGTTCCTTTAAGCTGGGAAGAAAAGTCAAAGCTCAGAATTTTCGGGAATAGGCAGGGAATGAGCCACCCCCCCACTCCAATAAATCATGGTCACGTAAGGAAAGACACCGTAAGTCACCACCCAAATCGCCTCCCAATTCCACCTCAAGATTCTCTATTTTAGAAGCGGGTGATCCCCAAAGCTTGAACACACCGCTTTCCAACTCTGTATCTGAACAGGGGTTCTTGCGTATCCCGACCCCTCCCTTTAGGAACCGTGGAGCCCAGGCCAACCCACTACGGAGACATTATTTGCTTACTTTTCCAGCTACTTCTTAAACTGGGCAGGCTGTGAAGAACTAACGGTCTCAGAAACCTCCCTTCTCCAGACTCGACTCGCGGAAAGGCATGCGTGGGTGGGTGGACTGCGCTCCAAGCGCTCCGTGAAGCTGTGGGGGTTGGCCCACAATCCCTCGCGAGGGCGGGAAAGGCGAAGGGGGTTCGCAAAGGGGTCGGCAGTCCGAAAGAGCCTAGAGACTGAACATTGGAGTGGGGACGCAGATTCCGCCTTATCTGACCGTTTCCGAGACTTTTCACACCAGTAAAACCGGTAACTGGACAGTGTGCACGCGCTACCCCCACTGGTGGGGGAGAGGTCTTTTTCATTTATGACCCAGAAGCTTCCACCCAACAGGCCAGGGTGGAAGTGAGGAAATGTGATGCGTAGGGCCCATTGGGCCTGGCTCTCCGTTCTACAGTCTCCATCCATCGTTTTATTTTCAAGTTATACGTTTGATGGAAGAATTCTAAATGGGATTTGGAGAAATCACGAAGGAAAGGGTGCCAAACTGTGAAAACTTAGCCGGTAACAGCACCGCAGCAGAGGGCAACGCCGCGTGCTGCTAGGCCGCCGACCCCGCCTCTTCCGCCTTGCGTCTGACGTCATACGGTGCGGGCCGGGAGCGGACGTGCAGGGTTATTCCGCCCGGGGTTTGGAGGTCCAGGGGAGCGCGCGTAGGCGTCTCGGTTTGAAATGCAGCGGGATTTAGGTAGCTTCCCGTTGTCCCCAGCGGTGCGGGTGAAGCTGGTCTCCGCAGGTTTCCAGACTGCTGAGGAACTCCTGGAGGTGAAACCCTCCGAGCTCAGCAAAGGTAACGACTCTCGACGGCAAGCTGAGGCAACCGGCCGTGATCCGCGCTCCTTTATCTCCCGCCTTCAGGCGATAGCACAGTGACTACTAGATTCCTCTGCTCCTCTGGCAGCGTTTATTACATGAAACGGCTCATTGACTCTGCTTAAAAGTGTTGTGTGGTTGGGACGACTGTGGTCGTGAAAACATGTACTGATTGTTTTGTGCCAGAGCCTGCTGATGGATGATGAGAATCCTCGTTAGTGGATTATTATGCCACTATGAAAAAAAAAAAGCTTTGCGGTAGAGTCGATTCCGACTCATAGCGACCCTATAGAACACAATAGAACTGCCCCCATAGGGTTTCCAAGGAGCGGCTGGTGGATTCGAACTGCCGACGTTTTGGTAGCTCGCCATAGCTCTTACCCCCTGCGCTTGATGCTTGCGGTGGTTAAGTAAGTGATTCATGATAACTGGGCTAGGAAATATTGGAGCCAGATTAATACCTAGACAGGCTGTCTGATTTTCGCGGTTCCAAGTCCAGTGGGTGAGGATTCAGTTAGAGAAATGCAGGAAACCTGACAGGACTAGAGTGAGAAAGGGACGCTGCTTTCAATCTGGAGAAAGCAGTAGAAAGACACACCTCTTATGTACCCCCCCCCCCATTTAAATCTCCAAATAAGTTCCACAACACTGTAGGTTATATGTTGGTGGGAACCACTGTGCACTGTGAGTATACAAAATTTGAGGGACAGAGAAGTAACTTGCCCAGAGTCACACAGTAAGTGGTGCAGTCAGAATTTACAAACTCAAGCGATCTTACTCCAACGTTCAGGCTCTTAAATTGGATAGGATCTTAGTTTTCTAAATGTTTATCACCACCATTGTCTTTTGTTAGCACCAAATTCGTAGTCCTTATCCTTTATCACATCAAACACACTGATCCATCAAACTGCTAAGTGATATCATCCTCATCATTATTTCTTTAATTAGCAGCTTGTTTTGTAATTGCCATTTTCTCTGGCACATATTGTCAGATAGGAATGAAATTTTGTAGTTGAGGAAGCATGTGTAGTGTTTAAGATCGTTGTACATCGAGCAATTAAATAGTCTGGAGTAATACATGGACTTAACACTGATGTTTCCATGAAAAGTTTTTATATTGAATAAAACATGTACATATGCTTCAAAAGTGTCTCTTGTTTTAGGCAGGTTAAAGAAGTAATTTCCATTCTCTTCTGAAAAATAATTTGTATAGTTTATGAGAGCAAAATAATTATGTCATCATAGTACCAAAAGGGATAGTAAAAGTTCTCCAAAAACCAAACCAAACCCATTTCCGTCAAGTTGATTCTGACTCACAGTGACCCTGTAGTACAGAGTAGAACTGCCCCATAGGATTTCCAAAGAGCGGCTGGTGGATTTGAACTGTCAACCTTTTGTTTAGCAGCCGTAGCTCTTAATCACTGCGCCACCAGGGCTCCAAAAGTACTGGTAGTACATTTTTATTTCTATCTCTGAGATATCCTTGTAGATACTCAGAAATAATTTTAGTTGATTTCTGTTTCTAAAGTAATGGGTAAATATTTTATGTGAAGACTATGAAAACATAGACAAATGCCTTTATTAACTTAAAAAAAGTAAATAGTTGATGGAATGTCACATTTTTATGTTTCTCTATTCTTGGCATTACTCTTGTTACTTAAAAAATTATAATTAATGGAGACAACCCATCTGAGTTGTTAGACAGTTTTAAGTCTCCAAAATCTTTTTTTTTTACTTTCAGAAGCTGGGATATCTAAAGAAGAAGCTTTAGAAACACTGCAAATTATAAGAAGAGAATATCTCACAAATATACCAAGATATGCTGGTACATCTGAATCAGGCAAGAAGTGTACAGCACTGGAACTTCTTGAGCAGGAGCATACCCAGGGCTTCATAATTACCTTCTGTTCAGCACTAGATAATATTCTTGGGGGTGGAATACCCTTAACCAAAACAACAGAAATTTGTGGTGCACCAGGTGTTGGAAAAACACAGTTATGGTAAAATAAAATGTTCTTCTCTTAAGGAAGGGTGGGCTTAATAATGTTTTATGTAAGTAATAGAGTTGTGCTGTGGGTCTGCAGTCAGGAGACCAAAAAAAGGTATATGTGTGCTCTTTATTTTACATGTTTGATGCAAAAAATGGAGCCCTGGTGGCACAGTGTTTAAGAGCTCGGCTGCTAACCAAAAGGTCAGCAGTTTGAATGTACCAGCCGCTCCTTGGAAACCCTATGGGGCAGTTCAGCTTTGCCCTAGAGGTGGCTGTGAGTCAGAATTGACTCGATGGCAATGGGATGCGTAAAACAAAATTCATTTGGTTTTGACGTTACTTCAGTACCCCATCTTACTAAATAGATACAATTATTTTGATATAAAAAAAGTCTGCAGCCTTGTAGTGTGACCATTAAGGTAAACAGATGGTTTTCTGCTTTTTATTTCATTCCTGAAGATATATTTGAAAGTCAAATGTTTGCAAGTAGATTCACATATAATAAAGAGTTCCATTCCCAAAAGCCTAAAAATCATTAAGAAGCCTTTAATTCTGGTCTTAGAGGCCCAGCTTGCCCCTAATCCAAGGAACAGTTGTTTCACATATATCTGACTCTGTGAGTTGCTTTGGGAAGTAAAGAGATCAAGTCAGATCAGGTATCTACTTTTTCCGTGGAGTGTAACTCTCATTTGACCTGTTTTCAGGATCTGAAGTCTTCAGACTTTAAACTTTCTTGTGCACACACCTTAAGAGATTGGAAGCAAGGGCTAGGGAAAGAAGTCTTTTCTTTTTTTGCTTTAGAACGGGCCCCTTTTTCTTTCCATTGCCTACGGAATGAGGATTGCAGGAAGTGGAAGATTGAATAGCTGTCCTGTGAGAAACTAAACTGGATTCCTTACATAGTCCAGGCCTCATCCGCAGCCCCAAAGGAGGGATTGCAGGGGGAAAATAGATGCTTCTATTTGGCAGGATAGGACTCTAAAAGTACCTGCCTATAAAATATGCCCTCTACTCTTTACTCTGCTTCGACAATATACACATATACACTCACTCCTCACTTATCTATATAGTTAGGTTCCAAAGACCACGTCATTATGCGAAAATTGGAGTTATGTGAAAATGGAAGATTTTTTTGTTTTCAGACCATTTGTCCAATTTTTTTAATTTAGAAAATATGATAACAGCTAAGATTTACTGATGTGTTCATCACTGTGATGAGTCCAGTTATGGATTATTTCTCTGCTGAGAAGGAGGGATGGAGGAGACAAAGCTGGAGAAAGCCAGGCTGTGTGACTAGGGGGTCCACGGCTTAACAGATCTTTCCTCCAGGGCTCCACTCCCACCCCTGCAAGCCCTATCTTCACGATCCTGGAACCTGCTCTGCCCTCTGGGCCTGGAGAGTCACTCAGCCTTGGGGCTTCCTGTGAGGGTGCTGGGAGCCTGGCTGTGTACCTGGCTCCACCGGAGCCGAGGCTTCAGGCCCATTTGGGCTCACTTTGGGATGTCATTAAACTCATATGCATTTCTTCCAAACAGGATCTCCAGTGCCTCTTTCCTCCCTTCCCACCCCACAGCAGTTTTCAGCTTCCAGGACTTAGGCCACATAGGAGCTGGGAACCCAGAACAGGTGCCGACTGGCTGGGTGCTGCCTGCCCTTCCACCTGGAAGTCGTGGCCACAGAGGAGGCCTACCTGGTGCAGCAGCTGGATGTGGGGCAGGAAGGCATGGAGGTCGTGAGATAGCATGGCCCAGCTTCCCAGAGGCTGCCTAGAGACTCTCAAGGGAGGGGACACTCCGCAGCCGTTGCCGCCATGCCTGCCACCCCGCTAATGCACAAAATAGTGGGATAGTAGATTTTTTACTATAGTAAATGCAAAATGTTGAATAATGAGATAGTCGATAAGTAAGGAGTAGATGTACTTCTCAGGGCAAGCCAGTCCATTTTTTAAGCTGGAGTGACTGACTGGCAAGCAGTCCCAGTATGTAATAACTTTAAAATATTCTTAGCCCTATATGAAGACAATTTTAATTTGGTTTTAGAAAAGTTGGTTTAAGAGTGTCAGTATGAAATGTGGGGAAGTATTAGTTAACCGAAAGTTGAAAACCTGTTGAAATGCTGTGTTGGAGCAGGTATCACTAATGAATTTTAATCAGCCTTCTGTCAGAGTGGCATTAATGCCTACTCCACTCCTTTTTTACAAAAATTTATTGTGGTGAAATATACATAACGAAAAATTGACCATTTCAACCATTTTTACGTGTACAGTGTAGTGACTTTAATAATGTTTATGTTGTGTAACCATCACCACTGTCTGTTTCCAAATATTTCATCACCTTTAACAGAAACTCAGTACTCCTTAAGCAGTACCTCTTCATTTCCCCCTCACAGCCATCGCTGGTAACCAATAATAAACTCTATACATTTGCTTATTTTAGATATTTTATATAAGTGGGATCATATAATAATATTTGTCTTTTTGAGTCTGAGATTTCACTTAGCATAATGTTTTTTAGGTTCATCCATTTTGTAGCATGTTATGAGAACTTCATTTTTATTTATGGCTGAATAATATTCAGTTGTATTTTCATACCACGTCTTATTTATCCAGACATCTGTTGATGGATACTTGCATTGTTTCCACCTTTTGACCATTGTTAAGTAATGCTGCAGTGAACATTGGTGTACAAGTATCTGTTTGAGTCCCTGCTTTCAATTCTTTTGGAGTATATACCTAGGAGTGGAATTGCTGGATCAGATTGTAACTCATAAGCCCTGGTGGCACAGTGGTTAAGAGCTTGACTGCTAGCCAAACAGTCAGCAGTTCCAATCTACCAGCCACTCATTGAAAACCCTATGGAGTGTAGTTCTACTGTGGAACACGTGGGGTCGCCGTGGGTTGGAATCAACTAGACAGCAACTGGTTTGTTGTTGCTGTTGTTTTGGTAATGATATTTCTTGATAAAGTCCTTTGATGCACAGAAGTTTTTAATTTTTATGAAGTCCAATTTATTTCGTTTTTTGTTACGTACACTTTTGTTGTCTTATCTAACGTCTTTCCGCTCCCCTTTTTTTTTTTTAAAGTTTGGTTTGATTGTCGTTCATGATTTATTCAGAGGTTAGCAAGATATTTCAGACCGTCTTAATTTCTAATACTAGTCTCTATACTCTGTTTTTTCTTTTTAAAAAAAGTTATAAAGTATATTAGAAAGTACATAAAACATAGGCAGTTTAACGAAGAATTATAAAGCAACCTACTTCGTGAAAGACATTATCAATATCCTCAGTAGCCCTTTATAAGCCCTGCCAATCATACCCTTCTCCTTCCCCCAAGTTAACAACTATTCCTGACTTTTTTGAAAGCAAACTTCCTTATTTTTGTTTAAAATACAACACTCTTTTGTTGTTTTGTTTTTTTAAATCATACTAACCAACTGCTGTCAAGTTGATTGTGACTCATGGCTTTTGTAGAGTAGAACTGTGCACCACAGGGTTTTCATGGCTGTGATCTTTTAGAAGCAGATCTCCAGGCCTTTCTTCCAAGGTGCCTCTCAGTGGGCTTGAACTGCCAACTTTTCAGTTAGTAGTTGAGCACTTAACCATTTGTGCCACCTTCTGTTCAGCACTGTTACCTTCTGTTTAGCTCTATTACCTTCTGTTCAGCACTAGATAATATTCTTGGGAGTGGACTTCTTCAGTCGTTCTAAATGTATATAAAATTATAATGGTTTTCCCTCTCAGTATTATTAAACAGTATGATAATTTTATATATCTTTCCCAGTTCTTTAGAAATGAGTTATAAACAGAAGTCCTTTTTATTTCTTTTTTAATACCCAAAAGTATATTTGTATTTATAAAATATGTAGTGGTACCCAATCAATCTGGAGTTGCGAAATACTGCCTTCGGTGATCATGATAATGATTTGGTTATTTGACTTCTTTCTCTTGTCAGTCTGCAGTTGGCAGTAGATGTGCAGATACCAGAATGTTTTGGAGGAGTAGCAGGTGAAGCAGTTTTTATTGACACAGAGGGAAGTTTTATGGTTGATAGAGTGGTAGATCTTGCTACTGCCTGCATTCAGCACCTTCAGCTTATAGCAGGAACACACATGGGAGAGGGTAAGTTAGCAAATATATATATATATTTTTTTTTTTACCTGAAGGCAGTCATTTTAATAGTCTTGATAAGACAATAATTTTTCTGCTATGCCACTTTATAGAGCATGTTTCTCCTGTTTCTTTACACCTCCACTTTCCTTCCTTTCTAGAGATGTGGATGGATTCTTTTTTTTTTTATTTTATTTTATTTTATTGTACTTCAGGTGGCTTACAGAACAAATAGTTTCTCATGAAACAGTAGTACACATGTTGTTTTATGACATTGGTTAACAACCCCACAACATATTAACACATTAACCCTCTAGCTTCTCAACCTTTTTTTTTTTGGTGAAGATACACATAGCCAAAGATACACCGTTTCAAAAATTTCTGCATGCACAGTTCAGTGACATTGATTACGCTCTTCCAATTGTGCTGTTATTCTCACTTAAGATGAAGACTTACAGAACAAAATAGTTTCTCATTTAACAGTTACTACAAATGTTGCCCTATGACAATGGTTAACAATCTCACAACACATCAACAATATCCTTACTCAACCTTGGGTTCCCTATCACCAGTTTCCTTGTCCCCTTCTGCCTTCTGGCCCTTGTCACTGGACTCCTGTACCTCGTTACTCTCATTTGGTTTTACGGGGCTGTCCACTCCCAGGCTGAATAGTGAACCTCGGAGGTAGCTTCACCACTGAGCTAAAAGGGTGTCTGGGGGCCATACTCTCAGGGTTTCTCCAGTCTCCTTTAGGCCAGTAAATCTGGTCTTTTTTGTGTGAGTTAGAATTATGCTCTACATCCTTCTCCAGCTCTGTCCAGAACCCTCTGTTGTGATCCTGGTCAGAGCAGTCAGTGGTGGTAGCCGGGCACCATCTAGCTGTACTGGACTCAGTCCGGTGGAGGCCTTGGTAGCTGTGGACAGTTAGTCCTTCGGACTAATACATTTTTCCTTTTTTACTCTTAATTTGTAGTCCTGCAAAAAAAAATCTAGAAACTTCCATTATATTACTTCTGTTCAATAGAGAGCAATAACTAGAAATTTGAAAAGGCAGGCGTTAAAACTCTGGTTGTATGTATGTATAAATAATTTCTAGATAGTTAGCCCAGTATGCAAGGAAACTGTGGAAAAGGTGAAAATAGGAGGTCAGGAATTATGAAATGATAATTTATAGTCATTTTGCTACAATGTTATCACCTTGCAATTAAACTGAAAGTTTTATTACTTAAAGTGAAGAATTTTGTTATTCCAAAGTATTGTTTTCCTGTAATCACCAACATATCAAAACAGTTAAAATTAATTATTTTAAGGTTGTTTTGTTGTTTATTTCAGAGCACCAAAAAGCTTTGGAGAATTTCACTCTTGAAAATATTCTTTCCCATATTTATTATTTTCGTTGTCATGACTACACAGAGCTACTGGCACGAGTTTATCTTCTTCCAGACTTCCTTTCAGAACACTCAAAGGTATGGGTCAAACTGCTGAAATAGTTAACCAGGTATCTTTGTAGGTGTTTGATAAGCGTGAAAAGTGAGTAGATAGTACAGTGGCATAAAATTAAAGTCAAAGTTAACTCAGAAAATACCTTCCTTTCCTGTCCTATAATTTATTTATATTGATATTTTGCATATATATGTGTGTATATGTATATTTTTTTAGGTAGGTTATGCACAGAGTAAGAAATTCAAACAATTGTAGAAAGGTTCCACCTCCAGTAATGGTAGAGTATAGCTCCTATCAAACTCTATAGGAAGATATAAAATGAAAAGTAACAACTTTCCTTCTGCTAGGAAGGGATTTCTTTAACCGTCACTTTTTTCCAGGATTAGGGGCTTCATTAAAATTCAACGTTGTCCCTATTTTCCATTATTCTTTTCTTTCACTACTAACTACCAATAGCTTTCTCCTCTTTTAATGTATTTAAAATGGAGTTGTGGTCACTTCAGAACTGTTTGACTCTACCTGAGGCACCAATGCTAAAGATAGGTTTTGGATATTGGCTCGAATATGGAAGATTTATGCAAGAAATTGACACTTGTTGGGGAGTGGTGAGGAGCCTTTTTTATTATTCATGGACCTACTGAAAGCCCTTTCATCCATCTCTTTTTTTTTGGAAGCAGGTGCTGGCAGAGTATGTTGTTTCATTTTGTTTTTTAACGCAGTATTTCTTACTACAGCATCAGCTTACTTCTGACAGTGGAACTATAATAAGGTCAGATGCTAATTTGACCCTCTTACATTTGAGGTTAAGGAGCTCTGATGGCTTAATGGTTAAATGCTCAGCTGCTAACCAAAAGGTTAGGGGTTTGAACCCACCAGCTGCTCCACAGGAGAAAAGACCTGACGATCTGTTCCTAAAGATGACAGCCTAGGAAACCCTATGTGGCAGTTCTACTTTGTCCACTAGGGTTGCTATGAGTTGGGATCAACTCTACAGCACACAATAACAACATTTGAGGTTGGCTTTTACCTCTTCACTGCCTCAATTTCTGCTCATTCAAAATACAATGCCCAGTAGTTCTCAATCTGTAGCATGCATTTGAATCACCTGGAGGGCTGTTAAAACATCTGTTGCTGGGCCCCCACACCCAGAATTTCTAATTCAGTGTATCTAGGATAGGGCCTGAGATTTTCATTTCTAACAAGTTCCTCATTTCTCACAAGATGCTGATGCTACTAGTCTGGGGACCACACTTTGAGAACTACTGGTCTTAAAAATAGGTATTGATTCTTTAAATGCTCATCTTTAATAAAAAAAGGATGAAGTCCCTCCCTGAGTGGTGCAAACAGTTAAGCACTTGGCTACTAGCCTAAGGTTGGTGGTTCGATCCACACAGCGGTGCTTGGGAAGACAGGCCTGGTGATCTGCTTGTGAAAGCCCTTCTACTCTGCACACTAGGAGTCAGAATGGACTCAAGGCAACTAACAACAGCCATAACAATTATTAAGAGTGCAAAGGGGTCCTATAAAAAAGTTTGAGAACCACTGAATGAATGACTGTAACATCCTACATGATATGATTTTTTTTTATCTCTCCAGTAGTGTGCTGGTTAATAACTAGCTTTCCAGGAGAAAAATGAAAGCATATATTTACATACATAAGTTAATTATAAATTTCACTGATACAAAGAATATGTAGCACACAATTTACAAGTAATAATTAAGTATACGATATTCTTTATTATGAGTTTCATATAGCCAATTGATTCTTACAGAATGCATTTGGTAATGTGATTTTTACTAAATTCTTGTATTTTTATCCAACTTATTCCATGATTTGACAGAATCAAACTACCAATAAGTGCTTGATTACTGTCTGATTCAGCAAAGAAATTGCTCACATCATTGATGAACAAATACTGTTTTAACATGAATGTTGGTTGATATTTTTGCTTATGTTAACCCGTTATGAAAGTGAAACAACAAAGATGTATTTCTTTGCTGAATTGGATAATTTTTTAATACTGGAAGACTATTTCCTCAATTTTTGTGCGATTCACAATGTAAACAGCTACAGACACAACACATTTTAAGTTCAATTTGATTATTAACATTTTCTACATCACTTTTTAAACAAATGATGCCCTGACCACTAGAACATAGTATCAAGAGAGCAGGGACCTTGTCTCTCTTGTTCACATGGTATCCCCAATTCCTGAAATAGTGACCAACATATACCAAAAAAGCCCATTGCCCTCTAGTCAATTCTGACTTATAGTGACCCTATAGGACAGAGAACCTATAAAACTCTGTCCTGTAGGGTTGCTGTGAGTTAAAATCGACTTGATGGCAACAGGTTTGGTTTTGGTTTTGGTTTTTATAGGACAGGGTAGAACTGCCCGAGAAGGTTTCCAAGGCTATAATCTTCACGGACTCAGACTACCACATCTTTCTCCTGCAGAGCGGCTGGTGGGTTTGAACCACCAACCTTTCAGTTAGCAGCCGAACGCTTTAACCACTGCGCCACCAGGGCTCCTTACCGACATACAGTAGGTGTCAATACATATTTGCTGAGTAAAGCAATGAATACTGGTATCTCTAAATAAAAGATATCTAAATGTATTTCTTAGACTAGCTTCACAAAAGCCTCTTCTTTAACCCAACCCTTACTAGATGGGGGGAAAAATAGCCTTGTAGTTTTGTTTTGTTTTTTGACATTTGGATTAAAGTTTCTAAATTTTTTCTATTTTTGGATCTCAGGTTTATATATTGATAAGTTACTCCAACTCCATCTTGTTGTTAGTTGCTGTTGCATCGGCTCCAACTTGTGCCTGCTTTATGTTTAACAAAACAAAACGTTGAGCTGTTATTTTGATTATATTATAGGTGAAACTATCATAAAAATGTTTTTCATCTGCAAGTAGACCTTAGTTGGAATTCAAGGCAGACCTGCCTCATGCTAAATTCTATATTTTAACAGATGCTATAATGGTTAGTTGCCCTATAATATATTTAAAATTAAGGGGGAAAAGTGTACCAAGAATTAAGTTTTTGAAGAAAATATTATAATTTTATACTTTATATTATTATAATTATAAACCCTAATATTTAAAGTTTTTAAAATTATAAACCTTAATATTTGGAGATTTATTTTAATAAAGAAAACCCTAAAGTTAAGATTTGCATATTAAGTGAGAAGTTTATTTGTTTTACCGTGATTTCAAATGTGCTTTTTACCAGTGTGAAATAGCTCTGTAACTACTGTGTACAGTGGCAAGTTATAAGGAAATTTTAATTGTTCCTTTTTCTTTTGTTGAATTATACTTTTAAATATGAATAATTACCAAACAAGAATAAATTATAACTTTTGGTGATTACTGCAGAAACCAATAGATGAATAGATTTACAGATTTATTATTCTCCTTTGGAGAATTAGAAATAAAGCCTTGGATTTTATGGGGGGTTTTTGGTAATAGGTGACACTTTTTCTATACCATTTTAATTTTAATTTTTAATATCAAACCTAATATCATTATCTCTTCTGTGTTTAGGTTCGATTAGTGATAGTGGATGGTATTGCTTTTCCTTTTCGTCATGACCTAGATGACCTATCCCTCCGTACTCGGTTACTAAATGGACTTGCCCAGCAAATGATCAGCCTTGCAAATAATCACAGATTAGCTGTAAGTGTTACTAGTCAAGAGAGTTTTATAATAAAATCAAGAATGTATAAAATATCACTGCCTAGAGATAGCAAAATAGAATTTGCCTGATAGTAAATAATACAGACATGCATTAAAGTTAAAGAATGCATGAAGTATATCAGTTTTCCTGGGAAATAGCAAGCATAATCAATGTCATTTTTTAAATTGAACTTTGCATGATAAAGGAATGCCCCCATTAGTAATCACAGTATTGTCTTTGTCTAAATATCTGAATGTTTTCAGGTAAACTTTCTTCCAACATCCCATTTTTCTATCTCTGAGTCTTTGATTATTACATAATGTGTAATCACAGACTCAGAGGGATAGAAAAATTACATAGCATAAACAATCTAGATGTTTTGAGGTGGAGCTAACTTTTCTGGATATGAAATGTGAGAAGAGAGGTAAATATAAGCTCAGACGTGAAGAGATAAAAAGGAGTGAGGTTAAAACCTTTTTTTTTTTTTTTACTGCCTATTGGCGATGGCTTCCCACCCTGCAACCCCATCCTATCACTGACACAAATGCACACACTGATGGGGAGGGAAGTGTGGGGAGGTCATACTGCTTGATTTCTTCGTTTTACTTGACTTCTTCGTCTTGAAGAGTCCTTAGCCACATACCTGTAATACATAATAAGTAAATAAAGAACTTCAGTAATATTATTTAAAAAATATATCTTTTTTTGTGAATGTTTAGATTTTATACCATATGCAGAAAAGCAAAGCATAGTGTCTTGTCTTTGAATTATTTCTTGCCATTAATTTAGCATTCTGTTAATATCAGTGAAGAGTCTCCAGTAGGTGGTACTCAAGACCAATGGCTTGTGTAGTTTGTTAGTTTTTTTTTGTTTGCTTTTGTTTAAACAGAAATGGCTTCATCTTTTCTATAAAAAAGGTAATGCAACCAATAACATGTAGTGATTACTATAGTGGAATAATATGCAGTGGTTAAGAAGAGTGATGTAAATATACATGTACTGTCATGGAATGAAATATATCCAGATACATGATTAAATGAAAAATTGAAGTTGCATAGCAATATATTTAGTCTGATCTCAACTTTTGAGAAAAAACAAAAATATATATGTGCTTTCATATTTGCATATATGAAGAAAAAGATCTGAAAAGACCAAAACATTAATAGTGGCTACCTCCTGTTTTACATAAGTTCAGCATGACTCAGAGCCAAGTCAGAGGTTTCTTGAAGGCAACCAACAACAAAACAACCACCTCTAGATACAGGAGTTTTTGGGACTGGGGGCATACTTGCCCTTCTTACATTGTAAATTCTTCTGTTTGATTTTTTTCCCCGAGTTAGCATGTATAGAAACATGTATGACTTTTCATAATAAATACATTTAAATTGTGTACATTTGTTATTAAAAAAAAATTCTAAACAATTCAGAAATGTAGAAAGTAAGCAACTATATTATCCTATACTCTATGATTATTGTTTAGTTTGGTGTACATATTTTTCCAGACTTTATTCTATGTATATGCAAACATACTTTATTTTTAAATGAGATCATATTATGCATGCTGTTACATAAAGCAATTTTTTGTTTTCAACTTAATATATTGTGAATACCTTTCCCTGTATACTACTTATAAGTCTACCTTATCTTTTTTAACAACTATGTAGTATTCCATTGTATGATTGTAGCATAGTTTTTTAACCAACTCCTTAGTGTCTTTAAAGTTGGCTCCTGTTTTTACCATTGAACATGCTGCAGTCAGCAACTTTATACATATATCTTTGTCCATTCTTCCAGTTATTTCCTTAGAACAAATTTCTTAAAGTGAAAGTATTAAGCCAAAGGATCTATTTTTAAACATTTTGTTATGTATATTATCAAATTACCCTCAGAAATTGTGTTCTAAGATATGTTCTCTACAACAATGAATAGGAATTCTTATTTTCCCACATCGTTACCAACTCTGTTACCAGTCTTTTTACTCGTTGCCAAACTGATGGGGGAAAGGCCTTTTAAAAATGCATTTATTTGATTATTGTCAGAAATGGTTTTTAACAGTTTTATTGAGATTCATATACCATGAAATTTACCCTTTTAAAGTGTACAATTCATAATTTTTAGTATATTCACAGAGTTGTACAACTGTCACCACTATCTCATTTTAGAACATTTTTATCACCCTCAAAAGAAACCCTATGCCCATTAGCAGTCACTCCTTCTGCTAGCCCCCTGGCAACCACTAATCTATTTTCTGTGTCTATGGATTTTGCCTTTTCTGGACATTTCCTATAAGTGGAGTCATACAATATATGACCTTTTGTGTCTGGCATCTTGCACTTGGCTTAATGTTTTCAAGGTTTGTCCATGTTATACCATGTACCAGTACTTTATTCCATTTTATGGTTAACTATTTTTCCATTTTATAGGTATACCACATTTTATCTATTCATCAGTCAAAGGACATTTGGATAGCCGAAGTCCATATCAAAGTGATTGTTGCCTCACTATTTTAAAGATTTATTTTTGGGGGAGCTTGGGAACACAGTAATTTTCATTTGTATCATGGTACCTAACATTTTTGCAGGAGTAGTTTAATTACTTTATAAATATTTGCCAGTAATACAAAATCTAATTTTGGGATGTTGAACAGCTGGTAAGCCAGTACTATTTACATTTTCCTCATAAGATATAATGGATAAACTAAATACTCTCTCTAAACTAGCATTGTCCAATAGAACTTTCTGTGATGATGGAAATATGTGGTCTGTTACACGTGTTTACCTTTGAACAATTCTTTATAGGAGGAAAGTGTGGTAAATTGAATAAAGATCTCCCAGAGATATCCATGTCCTAATTCTCAGAATTGGACAGTACAGCTCTAAATGAAGTGTGGGCTTTAAGTAAGTATCCCAGTTGGTAGAGCTTAAACACTTGGTAGTATATACAGTAAAGGCTATTATTCATCATGTTGGCTAAACAGAAATTTTAGGGTGTTACCCTTGCAGTGGAAATAGCCAAACGGCCTTTTCTTTCTTAGTGTTCTTTTTTTTTTTTTTATTTTGTACTTTAAGTGAAAGTTTACTATTTAAGTTAGTCTTTCATACAAAAATTTATACATACACTGTTATGTGACCCCAGTTGCTCTCCCTATACTGTGACAGCACACTCCTCCTTTCCACCCCTAATTTCCCACATCCATTCAACCAGCTCCTGACCCTCTTCACCTTTTCATCTCCCCTCCGGACAGGAGCTCCTCATTTAGTCTCACGTATGTACTTGAGCTAAGAAGCACGCTCTTCACGAGTATCATTTTTCCCATAGTCCAGTCTAATCTTTGTCTGAAGAGTTGGCCTCAGGTATGGTTTTAGTTCTGGGCTGACAGAGAGTCCAGGGGCCATGCTTTCTGGGGTTCCTCTAGTCTCAGTCAGACCATTAAGTCCGGTCTTTTTGCTAGAATTTGAGTTCTGCACCCCGCTTTTCTCCTGCTCCATCAAGGACTCTCTGATGTGTTCCCTGTCAGGGCAGTCATTGGTGGTAGCTGGGCACCATCCAGTTCTTCTGGTCTCAGGCTGATGCAGTGTCTGGTTTATGTGGCCCTTTCTGTCTCTTGGGCAAATACTTTCCTTGTGACTTTGGTGTTCTTCATTCTCCTTTATTCCAGGTGGGTTGGGACCAACTGATGCATCTTAGATGGCCGTTCGCTAGCTTTTAAGACCCCAAACACAGCTCACCAAAGTAGGATGCATATCTTTCTTAGTGTTCTTATGGAACTGATGACCTTTTCAGAGTAGGCACGTTTTCCTCATTGCTTTTCATAGAAGTTCTTTATCAGTTTCAGCTTGCAGTAGTATCCATCATCCTTTCTAGAGGGAAGATCTGTATTGGAGGAATATCTAAAAATAACGTTTTCTGGAGAATTTTGGGTGGGAAGATGTCAGATAATCTTTTAAGTCAGCCTTAATTAAACATTTGTTTACTTTAAAATTACTGTCTTTCTACTCATGAAGAGTGTGCTTCTTAGCTCAAGTAGATACATGAGACTAAATGGGCAGCTCCTGTCTGGAGGCGAGATGAGAAGGCAGAGAGGGTCAGGAGCTGGTTGAATGGACGCAGGAAATCTGCGGTGGGAAGGAGGAGCGTGCTGTCACAGTATAGGGAGAGCAACTAGGGTCACATAACAATGTATGTATAAATTTTTGTATGAGAGACTAACTTGAATTGTAAATTTTCACTTAAAGCACAACAATTAAAAAAAAATTACTGTCTTTCAAAACATGAAATTTTTTCTATAGCCCACTATTTAATCCAGGAGAATCAGCAATATTTTTCATCTTTAGGGCCATTTGTGAGTAAAACAATACCTGGGCTATTACCAGCAGGCCAGCCTAGTCCTGATTTGGAATAATTTGACCTGATTGCCAGACTTTTTCTTTTTCCCTAGTTCTTCTATTTCTACTGTTTTGTTTTTTTAATTATTTTAGGTCTCATAGTTTTTTGCCTCGGTTTCTTCTTAGTTTTGCTTTGTTTTTTTTCTTACAAAATCTTCAGTAGTAATACTGTAGGAGCCCTGGTGGCATAGTGGTCAAGAGCTAAGGCTGCCAACCAAAAGATCATCAGTTAAAATCTACCAGCCGCTGCTTGGAAACCCTATGGGGCGGTTCTACTCTGTCCTATAGGGTCACTATGAGTCAGAATCGACTTGAAGGCAATAGGTTAGTAATACTGTATTTGTTTCTTCCCTAAAAATATAAACATTGAGGTATTAGTATTTATTCCTTTGAATGAAGGTATTCTATCTAGGGAGGCAATGAGGAACCCTGGTGGCACAGTGGTTAAAGTACTGTGCTGTGAACTTAAAGGTTATTGGTTTGAACCCACCAGCCACACTGTGGGAGAAAGATATGGTAGTCAGCTTTTATAAAGATTACAGCCTTGGAAACCCTATGGGGCAATTCTACTCTGTCCTATTGGGTCACTATGAGTTGGAATCGAATCAACAGCAGCAAGTTTGAGGGAGGCAGTAGTGGTAGAGAACAGGAACTCAGTCTTTCTAAGGCTCTGATTTCTTATCTATAAAAGTAGAATAAAAGTACCTCACTCAGAGTAGTAGTTGTGAAGGTAAAGCACTTAGCATAGTTTCTGGCTTGTGTTAAGTACTCAGTAAATATTCATTACCACTGCTGATGTTGCTGCTATTATTCTTGTTTCTGTTGGCTTATACAAAACTTGATTTTAAAGGAAAAAATTTTCTGATGTTCCCAGTTTCGAAGCTTCTGCAGGTGGTCTCTGGTCTCTTTAGACCTTTATGTATTATCTGTTATATTTTTATTCTTCCATTTTCACAATAAGTACTTTTTTTTTCTTATCAAAAAATGTTTTATGGTGACTCATGTTTTCAGAAAACTACTCATTTTTATGACTAAATTTTTTTTTATTAAAAAATTTTTCATTACCTGAATACATGTGGAAGACATCTACCTGGCCAACCAAATGGAGAGATCTGTATATGTGCCCATTTCAAAGAAAGGTGATCCAACAGAATGAGAAAATTATCAAACAGTATCAATATCACACACAAATAAAATTTTGCTGAAGATAATTCAAAACAGGTTTCAGCCATGAATCCACAGAAAACTGCCAGAAATTCAAGCTGGATTCAGAAGAGGACATGGAACGAGTGATGTGATTGCTGATGTCAGATGGATCTTGCTGAAAGCAGAAAATACCAAAAAGATGTTTACCTGTCTTTTGTTGATTATGCAAAGGCATTCAACTGTGTGGATCATAACAAATTATGGATAACATTGCAAAGAATGGGAATTCCAGAACACTTAATTATGCTCATGAGGAACCTGTACATAGACCGAGAGGCAGTCATTTGAACAGAACAAGAGGAATAGCATGGTTTCCAGTCAGGAAACGTGTGCATCAGGGTTGTATCCTTTCACCATACTTATTCAGTCTGTATACTGAGCAAATAATCCGAGAAGCTAGACTGTATGAAGAAGAACACGGCATCAGGATTGGAGGGACATTCATTAACAACCTGTGATATGCAGATGACACAACCTTACTTGCTGAAAGTGACCGAAGCTCTTACTGATGAAGATCAAAGACTACAGCCTTCATTATGGATTATACCTTAACATAAAGAAAACAAAAATCCTCACAACTGGACCAATAAGCAACATCATGATAAATGGAGAAAAAATTGAAGTTGTCAAGAATTTCATTTTACTTGGATCCACAATCAATGCCTATGGAAACAGCAGTAAAAAAATCAAACAACATTATTGCCTTGGGCAAATCTGCTGCAAAAGACTTCTTTAAAGTGTGGAAAAGCAAAGATGTCACTTTGAAGACTAAGGTGCGCCTGACGAAAGCCATGGTATTTTTCAGTCGCCTCATAATGCATGCTACAGCTGGACAGTGAATAAGGAAGACCGAAGAAGAATTTATGCCTTCGAATTGTGGTGTTGGCAAAGAGTATTGAATATACCATGGACTGCCAGAAGAACGAACAAATCTGTCTTGGAAGAAGTACAGCCAGAATACTCCTTAAAAGTGAGGATGGCAAGACTTCGTCTCACATACTTTGGGTATTATCAGGAGGGAGCAGTCCCTGGAGAAGGACATCATGCTTGGTAGAGGGTCAGCGAGAAAGAGGAAGGCCCTCAGTGGGATGGATTGACACGGTGGCTGCAACAATGGGCACAAACACAGCAACTGCACAGGACCAGTCAGTGTTTGGTTCCGTTGTACATAGGGTTGCTATGAGTCAGCACCGGGCACCTAACAACAACAACAACAAATATGTTTTCTTTAACAATTGATTATATTCATAATACCTAATTTTTTCATCTTTTGTTTTTGTAGGTAATTTTAACCAATCAAATGACAACAAAGATTGATAAAAATCAAGCCTCACTGATTCCTGCTTTAGGTGGGTAACTGCTCAGATAAAATTTTTTAGTTAAACACATTTTTTCTACCTCTTTCATTTGATAACTTGTTGAATACTGTAAGCTCTGTGAGAGTAGTAGGGACTGCATCTGTCTTATTCACTAGTAAATCTTAACAGTAAGTACAGTGTTCTTAGATACTGACTGATCCTTTCAGTCATTTCACAAACATTTTTAGTGTCTGCTACGTGGCAGCTGTTGTGTCAGGTTCTAGGGATATAAATATAAGGTATGACTTGCTCTTCCAAAACTCATAGTCTCAGGCAGGAGGAAGAGTGAACTCAATTTAAGTACAAATCACAATACAATGAATAGAGTTACGTACTCTGTTCCTAGTCTCTGTCATGGTTTTGTTAGAACACAATGCTTCCAGATTTATTTTTACTAACATCTTTAAGAATATTATGTCAGAGTTTTTACTTTTCTTCTGGAGGTCAGAAGAGGAGTCCTGGTGATGCAGTGGTTAAGCGCTCAGCTGCTAACCAAAAGGTCAGCAGTTCGAGCCTACCAGCCACTCCGTGGAAGAAAGATGTGGCAGTCTGCTTCCGTAAAGATTTACAGCCTTGGAAACCCAATGGGGGGGACAGTTCTACTCTGTCTTATAGGGTTGCTATGAGTCGGAATCAACTGGACAGCAGCGGGTTTGGTGTTTGGTTTCGGTTGGAGGTCAGAAATATGTTAGCAGGCCTGACGCTTGTGAAGGATTGACAAATACACTGACTCAGAATATAAAAAGCAAATAGAAGATACTGACTTTCGATATTTCCCTATTAATCTCAGGATGTTACCCACCTCCCAGTTTTTTTAAAGCAAGTATACCCTTGTTATGTTAAACTAAGTAAAGTAAGACTGTATTTGGTCAGAAACATTCTGAGAGACTTCTTATAGCCTAGTCAGTGAGGCAGTACAGTTACTATGTTCTTTTCCCTCAGGGGAAAGTTGGGGACATGCTGCTACAATACGGCTAATCTTTCACTGGGACCGAAAGCAGAGGTCAGTAAGAAACCAGTTAATAATTATGAATATTGGGCAAATTACACCGAACACTTATCATTTTCTTAAAGCTAGTCCATTGGATGAGATCTACAATACTCCATGAACTAATGCTTTTGTTGCCTGTCTGATGTCACCTAGAGCAACCAGAGAAACTTGTTATACTGCATGTTTAGCTACACAGGAAATTCTTTGGAATATTTAAGTGATGAGGTGCACCTGAAACGAGTAGGTAGCCTAGGAATGCCACCTTCTAAAGCTCTTTGAAATCAAGTACCATTTATTAGCCATACAGAAGGATGTGGGTGCTCTGCGTTCCTAGAAGGGATTGAAAGAAGAATAAAATCAGGCAAAAGGAAGACTTTTGAGGTTAGCTTTAGGCCTAATTTATGTGGAAAATAGGATGGTTTTTCTAAGTCACTTAATATATTTCTTGTATGAAATTGTGTCTATTAGTTTTGTTTCCTATTGTATTTTCCTATCCTGCTTTTGTTTCCAGTTACTTACCTGTCTTCCACAAGTATTGTTCTTTAAATAAAACCATGGCAGCATGAAACCTTTGTTTTTAAACCTGCTGAGCAAGTGAACAAAACAGCTTTCATTTTCTCTAAAATAGTCAAGTGAAAGCTGTGGGGTCTTTTATTGTACACTTTTAGAAGTGTCAGATTTGTGCCAGCCTCTCTGCTTTGAGATTAATTGGCATAACCTAGAGAACTCTATTTGGAAATGCTCTAATAAAAGGGGAAACTGAGACAGCATATGGGCACAGATGGAACAAAGGGTTTACTTAAGTACAAATTGGGTCTGGTCAGTGATATTGTTAATTTTTTAATCTACATTTCTTTGTTCTTACACAAGTAAAAAAATCATACTTGGCCAAGTTAGGTTTGACTGACCCTAACTAAGTTCATGAGCAGAATTTATTGCAGGCTGCATACGGTATATCTTTTGCAACTAATTCCTGCAGTTTGTGTCTCCTTTAGAACTCAAGTAACTTTTTTTTTTCCAAGGAGCTCAGGTAATTCATTTTTTTTCATAATACATAGTGCTTTACAATTGACTCCCTCCCCGCCCAGTTCTGTAAATAAGTCATTATATACTGGATTTACAAAAGGAATTCTTTCTCAGCAACAAACCCCAAATCTTTACAAGCTATTGTAAAGACTTGGCAACAGTTCTGTAGCTGAGTTTTTTAAACATATTGCGTATACTTTCCCAGATTTATGTTATTCTATAAAGTATAGCCCACCATTTAAGTGTTCTTAGAAATTCCCCTCAACCTAGTATACAATAGTAGTCTTCTCCAGGAAAGAAAACTTCCAAACCAAGTGTACCAGTATGTACAATATGTACTTAATAGAATGCATCTAAGAAGTAACAAAAATAATAGGAGAGAGCAAGATGTTTCTTCTTTTCGTGCATTAATCAGAAGGAGAAGTTTCCTTCATTGTCATATTCTAGAAGTTACCATTGGGTAGGTCCACAGAGATCAGAAAATGATGCTTACTTTTTAAGAATTAACGATTATATGGCTTCAGCTTCTTCCAAATGCTTCCCAAGTAATTAGAGAATGATGTAGAACACTGACATGATATAGATAGATTTTGGGGGAATTCTGTTCTATAAAATTGTTGCCATTTCCCATACTATCATTTTAGTGAGTGCTTGCTTCTGGTAGATATTTTATAGATACTTTATATACAATGTTTCATTTAATCTCTTCAGTAACTCCTTGAAGAGTCTATAAATGTTATCATTAAAAGTGAGGAAACTGAGGCCCAGAAAGGTTAGCTGACTAAATAAATAGTAAATAATAGCAATCATTTATTGAATATTTATTAACTGTCCTTTGCTGTGATAATCACTGTATTTTAAAAAACCAAACCCGTTGTCATCAAATTGATTCCGGCTCACAATGACCCTATAGGACAGAGTAGAACTGTGCCATAGGGTTTCCAAGGAGTGACTGGTGGATTTGAGCTGTTTCCTTTTGGTTAGCAGCTGAATGCTTAACTACTGTTCCACCAGGGCTCCAAGCACTGTATATATATTACTTCATTTTATTTGTCAAATAACTCTATGAAATAGGTTGTAGTATCCACATTTTATAAGGTTAAGCAAATGGTTAAGTGCTGGACTACTAACTAAAAGGTTGGCAGTTCAAACCTACCCGTGGTGCTTCTGAAGACAGGTCTGGCGATCTGCTTCTGGAAGGTTACAACCTCGAAATCCCTATGGAGCAGTTCTGTTCTGGACACATCGGGTCACCTTGAGTCAGAACAGACTCCACAGCAACTAACAACAACAGTCACATGTTATAGCTGAATATTTTTTCCTATGGTTGCTGTTTCTGGAAGATAATTATAGCATTGCATTGATTACTAGCAAATCTGAAGGTATAACTTTTATTCCCCTTTTTAGGTAAAATCTTTTTTCTCCAAACATTTAAAAAAATTTTTAGGCTGTGGATATATGATAAGTAATGTGTTCACTTATTAAAGTCAGAATCAGTTGACCTCTTTTAATAGAATTTAATAAAATAGTATTGTTCTTCATTATTGAAACCAGATATTTTCAAGTCATTGAAGTTGCATGAAATCTTTGTGTGCTTTTAAATTTAGTTTATCTTGAAAGAATGGAAATAGAAATCCACACTGCGATGAAATAGTTACAAAAATTAATACTTCCAGTTTGAACAGAAAAACTAAAAGCCTCAAATAGCCAAATTTATATTGGCATTTGAGTTTAGGTGTTCCATCTCATGCCCCTGTCCTAATCCTTTGCCAGTAACACCTGATTTTTATCCTTTGACTAATGATGGAATAACATTCCAACAGTTGTTAAAAGAAGTAAAATGTTTTTGTCGGTATCCTATGTATTGTGTGGGTTTTCTTCCAATTTGCATATTCATAATAATATGAGGCCATGATTGTTCAGAATTGCACCACTCTTTGCCAAGAGGATCAGGTGGTAGAGTGGAGTAATATATCAACACCCCCACACAGCGTTTCATATGTGTGTTCAGCTTTAGAGCACAAATTGTGCTTCTGCCTTGTTTCTTCCTGACCCAAACTATGTAGTTCAGCCATATGTTAAGCTTCATCTCAGCTGGGGCCATGAGCCCAGTAATTTTTTAGTTTAATTTGATGTTTTAAAAAGATCTCTTGAGATGCAGTAATGAAATATAAAAATTTATTTATTTTATTTTATTTTTTTTTAAATATTTTATTGTACTTCAGGTGAAGGCTTACAGAACAGATAGTTTCTCATGTAACAGTAACACACATGCTGTTTTATGACATTGGTTAACAACCCCACAACATTTTAACCCTCGAAATTCTCAACTTTTTTTTTTTTTCTTTTGTGAAAATACACATAGCCAAAGATATGCCATTTCAAAAATTTTTTTTTTTACATACACATTTAAGTGACATTGACTACACTCTTCTAATTGTGCTGTTATTCTCACTTAAGATGAAGGCTTACAGGACAAAATAGTCTCCCATTTAACAGTTACTACAAATGTTGCCCTATAACAATGGTTAACAATCTCACAACACATCAACAATATCCTTACTCTACTTTGTGTTCCCTCTCATCAGCTTGCTACTCCCCTTCTGCCGTCTGGGCCTTGTCACTGGACTCCTGTACCTCGTTACTCTCATGGTTTTACTGGGCTGTCCACTCTCAGGCTGATCAGTGAACCTTGAAGGTAACTTTATCACTGAGCTAAAAGGGTGTCTGGGGGCCATACTCTCAGGGTTTCTCCAGTCTCCTTTAGGCCAGTAAATCTGGTCTTTTTTTTTTTTTTTTTTTTTTTTTGTTTTGATTTTTTTTTTACTTCCTTTCATTTTGTGAGTTAGAATTATGCTCTACATCCTTCTCCAGCTCTGTCCAGAACCCTCTGTTGTGATCCTGGTCAGAGCAGTCAGCGGTGGTAGCCGGGCACCATCTAGCTGTACTGGACTCAGTCCGGTGAAGGTCTTGGTAGCTGTGGACAATTAGTCCTTTGGACTAATCTTTTCGTTGTATCCTGTTCTCTTCATTCTCACTTGCTCCCGAAGAGATGAGACCAGTGGAGTATCTTAGATGGCCGCTCACAGGCTTTTAAGACCCCAGACACTACTCACCAAGGTAGAATGTAGAGCATTATCTTTATATGTAGTGTCATGCCAATTGAGCTAGATGTTCCCCGAGACCATGGTCCCCAGAGCCCTCCGTCCAGCAACTCAGTCCCTCGGGGAGTTTGGATCTGTCCATGGTAAAAATTTATTTTTATCTAGAAATTTGAGGAAGATTTTCAACCTGAATACTTAATGTCCATTTGACTTTAGGATTATTAATAAGCGTGTAAATACGTACTTCTTAAAAGCTTATTTGCTTTTAGTAATTTTTTCAGAAAAGTCAGGTGAACTGAGTACGAAATGATTTAGATTCTGATTTTTCAGAAAGATAATTTTTTTTTTTTAAGTAATATTTTACTGTCTTTTCGGTGAAGGTTTACACAGTATTTTAAGTTCCCATTCAGCAATTTCTACACAAGTTGTTCAGTGACATTGGTTATATTCTTCACAATGCGTGAACATTCTTATTGTTTCCGTTCTGGTTGTTCTGTTTCCATTAATCTAGCTTCCCTTCCCCCTTACAGTCTCATCTTTGTTTTAAAGTAATTGTTGACTGTTTGGTCTCATATAGGTGATTTTTTTTTTTTAATGATATTTTATTGTGTTTTTGGTGAAGGTTTACACAGCAGTTCATATAGGTGATTTTTTTAAAGACACAGTACTTATGGGTGATATTCATTATTTTTTGAGCCAGTTTGTTACTTAGGTGCAAGATGACCTCAGGGGTCGGGTCTGGTGTAAAGTTTGAAGAGTATCTCAGGGCAATAGCCTTGGGGAGTCCTCCAGTCTCAACCAGTGCAGTAAGAAAAATTTTTTTAACTGTGGTGAAATATGCATAACAAAAAATCCATATAACGTAAAATTGACCATTGTGACGTTTAGTGCATTCACAGTGTTGTGCAACCATCACCACAATCTATTGCCCCAAAAGGAAACCCCATACCCGTTAAGCAGTCACTCTGTATTCCCCTCTTACCCCAGCCCCTGGCAACCACTAATCTGTTTTTTGTGTCTATGGTACTGAATATTTCAGAGAACTCTGAATATTTCATATAAATGGAATTATGTGTGGCCTTTGTGTCTGGCTTCTCTCAGCACTATGTCTTAAAGGCTCATCCATGTCCTAGCACGTTATCAGTACTTCATTCTTTCTTTACGGCTGAATAATATGCCATTGTATGGATACACCGTGTTTTGTTTGTCCATTTATCAGTTGATGGACATTTGGGTTGTTTCCACCTTTTAGCTATCGTGAATAATGCTGCCATGAACAATTGTGTACATGTTTTTGTTTCAATACCTGTTTTCAGTTCTTTTGTGTGTATGCCCAGGAGTGGAATTGCTGGGTCATATGCTAATTCTATGTTTAACTTACTGAGGAACTGCCAGACTGTCTTCCACAGTGACTCCTTATTGATTTTTAAAATGGGTAATATATCCATGGGATACGGTATTTTTACGAAAATAACACATGCTTCTACATTTGCCAGCTGCACCCTGCCCCCTGAAGTATTAAACACCGGGATGCCAATTTTTTTTTACATGTTGCTGTAAAAATATTAGCATAGCGCATTTATGAAAATACTGTCGGGGGGGTGTGGGGGGAGAAGGCGGGGTTGGCAAACAAATGTAGAAGATGCACGTTATTTGCGTAAAAATACAGTACTTTGCATTTTGAATGATTCTTGCTTTGTAGAGTGCATAATAAAATCCCACTTGAAATAGACCTTGGTCTGTCATGACAGTGATGTTTTTGGACATAATCATTTTGAAACAATGTGTCTTAGAAGCTCATTTCTATAATACAAGTATGTGTTCCTCATTTATATTCCAGTAAATTGTTTTAATACTTATATGATAACACACAAAAAATGTACGATTATTTCAGAAAGTTTGGAAAACATAGATAAGCAAAAGAAAAAAATAGAAACAATCTTGTAATAACAACTTTTTATTAGTTGTAGCTTTCTAATTTTTCTGTACTTGCATATGTACATACTTAAATATGTGCACTATACAGTTTAACTTTTACTTAATATATTATTAATATTTTCCTATTTCATTCAACATTTTCTTTTACCTTTCTAGCATAAGTAGGATCTCATAAAGTATAAAATAATTTATCTGAATCAGTCATTAGATTTTTAGGTTGTTTTAAAATTTCGCTTATATAAACAACTTTATTATTGTTGTATGTAATAACTATTACATGCATACATACAGCTGTTGTTTGAGCAGAATATTTTTTATGTTTCTTTGCCTACTGTGCTCTTAGAGGACAAAATAATAGAATTATAGTAAAAAAAAATTTAAATTACGAAATCAGTCATCTGAATTAATTAAGGTTGTGTGTTTGTGTATATATTTTTGTCTCTAAGCAGGTTGGCAACATTGTGCAAATCACCAAGCCAGAAGGAATCTACAGTACTGTTTCAAATCACAGTCAGTATTATTTAATTAGAGTGTGATTTTGATATTGGTGGGCAGTAATTATCTGAAGAGAGCATTTCCAAATTGCTTCTGTTACCTTCTGTAGGCAGCAAGCAGATTTGAGGGCAGCTTTTGATGCTTAGAACATTATCCCCAAAATAGTATTATATATACAGAATAGTCACAGTTGAACTGACGTTTACTCTTAAGAACAGCGGAAATACTTATTTGTAGGGTTGTATGTTCCATGCCATATGTAATGTCAGGATATTATAGATTTTTAAAGTAAAAGTTACAAAAGATTTTCAGAAAAGAAATATCAACATTAGTGATTTTGGTCTGTAGATATTATAGATCTATCATGGTCATCAAATGTAACTCATTTTAAAATGTTAATTTTCCTGTGAATTTACTTTATAGAAATACATTTTTGGCTGAAATATGCATATTTATCAATAGTATTGAGCCAGGTATATTCTTGACATCTCATTTTTATAAGGAAAAAAACAGAAATGGAAAGGGATCCTGAAACTGAATTATCCTCTTAGTCTTTGCACTGCCCAGGTACATTTGCAGCATCGTAGTTGGAAAACTTTATTTTAGAATATTGTGAAAATAAATGAGTAAAGTGCCTAAGTAATTAGTACATGTTACTTCCTTTCACCTCTTCCATCAGAGCCATCATAAAGTTTGTTAGGATTGCCCTTTAGAGAACGTTTCTATTATGCAATCTTTTTTTATGTGTGTGTGTGTGTGTGTGTATATACTTATGTATACAATATTTTTATATATTTATAAATATATAAAAAATACTGTAGTGCAGTCCTGGCTTGGACATCTATCCATGAGGTTTATCCTCTTTATTCAGAGTAGTTGATAACTTCTATTCCAAGAGCAAAGTAGATCTCTAATCAGTTAAAAATATTTGGAAGACCAATCTTTATTTTAAATGTTCTTAAACCATACTTGTATATATTTTTTTATGTTGCAGCCTCAGGGATTTAGAGATGCTCTTGTTGCTACTGCATGTTCGTTGCCAATGGAGCCTTCACTGAATTCCCGCAAACGGTCACGAGAATCAGAGAAAGAGGCACAGGAATCCGAAGACTAATCTCAGAGTATAGAAAATGTGTTGATGCTCTGAGATTCCGTGTGTACAAGTCATAGACTCATTACTTTAAAATATAAATAAACATCGTGACATGAATGAATCAGGAATATACTGAAGCAAATGGGAAAAAATTAAGGAATATGATTCTCTGAAAAAGTTCTTCTAACGCAGTGTTCTACAATTATATTTTGTCCTGTTTTCATTTTCAGTAATAGTCAGTAGAGATGATATAGGCGTTGTATTTCACAAATGTGAAAAGCTGATCTCGTGGCCTATCTGAATTTACCATTCAGAATTTTTTTTCCCCTTTCTTTGCCAGTTGTCTAGGAAATCCTAGGAAGAAGTTTTTTTTCATATTCCAGTTGTGTTCTCCTCTATAAATGTAGCTTTGATAATTCTTTAAAATGACAGGCTTTTAAACCTTTTAAAGAGAAGCCAAGGCCATGCATGAGTCAGCATATCATTACATTATATAAATATATAAATCGGTTTGGCCATCTAAAATTGTTTGAGTGGAATATTTTGATGGTTCTTTGCCTGCTTGCCTACTGTGCTCCTAGAGGACAAAATAATAGAATTATAGTTTAAAAAAAACAAAACCGAAAACCTGAATTTAAACTATGAAATCAGTCATCTGAACTAATTAATTAAAGTTTGTGTATTTTTTTTCCCCCAAGCAGGTTGGCAGCATTGTACAAATCACCAAGCCAGAAGAAATCCACAATACTGTTTCAAATCACCGTCAGTATTATTTAATTAGAGTGGGATTTAGGTGAACAAACAATTTTAGATGACCAAACCCCTTTTAGAGACCTCAATCCTAATATCTAAGCCATTTGTTTAATTTTCTATTATTTTATAATGTTAAAGGAAGAACTTTGAAGGTGTTATCTCATCTAGAAATTGTTTAGAAGATACATTTTTCCAGAATAGTCAGGTTGATAAGCTCACAATTATTTATTTCTACATTTTTAAAGCCTGCAATGATCCATTCTAGAATTCTAGGTGTATTGACTTTTTTTCTTTTAAACAATCTTAACTCTATTTGAATAAATTAAAATTTTGGATTCTTGAATGGTTTCAGAATCATCTAAAAATCTTTTGGCATCTGGTTCTTCTTAATACTTCTCAATTCATTCACAAGTTTGGTTCCCAGCGGAAGGAAGTTTAAATAATTCAGTATTATATACTTTGACAACCATATTTTCCAGATTGTAGTGACAGGTGGTATTTCCTGTCCCAGACTGTACATCAAATTTATAAAATTTATTCAATGTAACTATTCTGCAGTTGACTGTACATAGAGTAGCCATTGTTTACCAGGACTTTTTTAAAAGTGAAAGGGATCATAGCTAACAATTATACCAGGACAATGAGTATAAAATTTCCCAGGCAGATCAGGCATATGGTCACCCTGACTATATAAGACTAATTTCAAATGACTGCTTTAATGTAGGATGACTGATTATAACTATCTTATTTTTGAAAGCTCTAAAACATTCTTTTTAATTGTGGTAAAAATATATACAACAAAACATTACAAATTCAGTAATTTTTACATGTATACTTCAGTGACATTCATTATGTTCATCATGTTGTATGACCATTACCACTGTCCTTTTCAAAATCATTCCACCACCATTAACAAAAACTCAGTGCTTTCTAAGGAATTACTCCCGCTTTCCCCCTCTTCCCACACCCATAACCACTAATAAGCTTTTGTCTCTATACATTTGCATATTGCATATAAGTGAGATCATACAGTATTCGTCCTTTTGTGACTGACATTTCACTCAGCACAATGCTTTCAAGGTTCATCCATGTTGTAGCATATCAGGACTTCATTTTTCTTAATGGCTGAGTAATATTCATGTACATGTATATTCATGTACACACAAACATATGCACATATATATTTATATTTACCACATTTTTAAGACTAATGACCAAAGACCAGATGTGTTGTGAAAGGACATCATACGTGAAAAAAGCAAGAGGTCATTAAAAAGACAGGAAAGAAAGAAAAGACCAAATGGATGTCAGAAGACACTCTGAAACTTGCTCTTGAACGTCAAGTAGCTAAAGCAAAAACAAGTGATGAAGTAAAAGCTCAACAGAAGATTTCAAAGGGCAGCTCAAGAAGACAAAGTAAAGTATTATAAATGCCGTGTGCAAAGAGCTGGAGATAGAAAACCAAAAGGGAAGAACACGCTCAGCATTTCTCAAGCTGAAAGAACTGAAGAAAAAATTCAAGCTTTGAGTTGCAATAGTGAAGGATTCTACAGGGAAAATATCAACACAGGAAGCATCAAAAGAAGATGGAAGGAATACAAAGAGTCACTGTACCAAAAAGAACTGGCCGGTGTTCAACCATTTCAGGAGGTAGAATATGATCAGGGACCAGTGGTACTGAAGGAAGAAGTCCAAGCTGCACTGAAGGCATTGGTGAAAAACATGGCTTCAGGAATTGACAGAACACCAATGAAGATGTTTCAGTGAATGGATGCAGCACTGGAAATGCTCACTTATCTATGCCAAGAAATTTGGAAGACAGCTACCTGGGTAACCGACTGGAAGAGATCCATATTTGTGCCTATTCCAAGGAAAGGTGATCCAGCAGAATGTGGAAATTATCGAACAATATCATTAACATCACAAGTAAAATTTTGCTGAAGATGATTCAAAGGTGATTGGCAGCAGTACATTGACAGGGAACTGCCAGAAATTCAAGCCGGATTCAGAAGAGGACTTGGAACCAGGGATATCATCGCTGATGTCGGATGGACCTCGGCTGAAAATAGAGAATACCAGAAAGATGTTTACCTGTGTTTTATTGACTATGCAAAGGCATTTGTGTGGATCATAACAAATTATGGATAACGTTGCGAAGAATGGAAATTCCAAAACACTTAATTGTGCTCATGAGGAGCCTATACATAGACCAAGAGGCAGTCGTTTGAACAGAGCAAGGGAATACTGTGCGGTTTAAAGTCAGGAAAGTTGTGCATCAGGGTTGTATCCTTTCACCATACCTATTTAATCTGTGTGTTGTGGTTAGGTGCTGTCGAGTAGGTTCTGACTCATAGCGACCCTGTGTATCCCAGAACGAAACACTGTCCAGTCCTGCGCCACGCTCACGGTCGTTACGCTTGAGCCCATTGCTGCAGCCACTGTGTCAATCCATCTCATTGAGGGTCTTCCTCTTTTTCGATGACCCTCTAGTTTACCAAGCGTGATGTCCTTGTCCAGGGACTGATCCCTCCTGACAACATGTCCTAAGTATGTAAGACATAGTCTTGCCGTCCTTGCTTCTAAGGAGCATCCTGGTTGTACTTCTTCCAAGACAGATTTGTTTGTTCTTTTGGCAGTCCAGGATATGTTCAATATTCTCCAACACCACAATTCAAAGGCATCAATTCTTCTTCGGTCTTCCTTATTCATCGTCCAGCTTTCACATGCATATGAGGCAATTGAAAACACCACTGGCTTGGGTCGGGCACACCTTAGTCTTCAAGATAACATCTTTGCTTTTCAACACTTTAAAGAGGTCTTTTGCAGTAGCTTTGCCCAATGCAATGAGTCTTGGTTTCTTGACTTCTGCTTCCATGAGTGTTGATTGTGGATCCAAGTAAAATGAAATCCTTGACAACATAATGTTGCTTTTTGGTCCAGTTGTGAGGATTTTTGTCTTCTTTATGTTGAGGTGCAATCCATACTGAGGGCTGTGGTCTTTGATCTTCATCAGTAAGTGCTTCAAGCCCTCTTCACTTTCAGCAATCAAAGTTGTACCATGGGTGACCTTGCTGATATGTGAATACCGATGGCATAGCTTCCAGCATCATAGCAACACGCAAGCCCCCACAGTATGACAAACTGACAGACGTGGGGATTCAATCTGTATGCTGAGCAAATAATTCGAGAAGCTGGACTATATGAAGACGAACGGGGCATCAGGGTTGGAGGAAAACTCATTAACAACCTGCGTTATGAAGATGACTCAACCTTGCTGAAAGTGCAGAGGACTTGAAGCACTTACTGATGAAGATCAAAGACCACAGCCTTCAGTATGGATTATATCTCAATATAAAGCAAGAATCCTCACACTGGACCAATAAGCACCATCATGATAAACAGAGAAAAGGTTGAAGTTGTCAAGGATTTCATTTTACTTGGATCCACAATCAACACCCACGGAAACCCTATGGGACAGCTCTACTCTGTCCTATAGGGTCACTATGAATCGGGATCGACTTGACAGCAACAGGTATAGTTCTGAAGTACAGTGTTATGATGCTTTATAAAAGAGATCCTATATTATCTGATGCCGGTGACACTGAGAGCTCAGGCTGCTAACCAAAAGGTTGGCAGTTTGAATCCACCAGCAGCTGCTTGGAAACACCAAGGGGCAGTTCTACTCTGTCCTATAGGGTTGCTATGAGTTGGAATCAACTCCACGGCAATGGGTTTTTTTTACATCCTCCTTACGTGCTTGATTTATCACTGGAGTAGATGAAGTATAATGGGCAATTTTTTTTAATGATTACATCAATATATATATATATATGCTTTGATGACACCAAAAGCATGAGTAGCAAAAGACAAAATAGATAATGGGACCTCAGAAGTTAAAAACTTTCGTTCATCAAAGGACTTTATCGACAAAGTGAAGAGTCAATCTACAGTTTGGGAGAAAATTTTGGGGAACCGTTTATCTGATAAGAGCTTAATATCCAGAATATGTAAAGAACTCCTACAACTTAACAACAAAAAGACAACTCAATCAAAAAATGGGCAAAGGACTTGACATTTCACCAAAGAGGATAGCCACCATCACTACCCACTGCCATCAAGTTGATTCTGATTCATAGCGACCCTACAGGACAGAGAAGAACTGCCTCCCAGGGCTTCCAAGGCTGTAAATCTTGACAGAAGCAGACTGCCACATCTTTCTCCCGAAAAGTGGACATATAAATGGCTAACAAGTGCATGAAAACATGTTCAACATCATTAGTCATTCCAAAACAAAACAAAAAAAACCTGTTGCTGTCAAGTTGATTCTGATTTATAGTGACCCTATAGAAAAGAGTAGAACTGCCCTATAGGGTTGCTGAAGCTGTAATCTTTACAGGAGCAGACTGCCACATCTTTCTCAAGTGGAGTCACTGGTGGGTAAGTAGATGTCTTAGGCTGAGTTCTCTACAGAACCAAAACCAGCAAAGCGTATGCGTATATATAGAGAGATTTATATCAAGGAAATGGCTCTCACGGTTGTAGAGGCTGGAAGATCCCAAGTCCATGGGTCAGGACAGAGGCTTCTCCTGATTCACATAGCCATAGGGGCTGGCAAACCCAAGATGGGCAGGATAAAGAGCAGGGCTCTTGCTCACATGCTGCGAAGATTGACGAATCCCAATGCAGCAGGCAAGACCACAGGTAAGCTGCTAACTCAAGTCCCAAGAACCTGAGGTCAGACCACCAGGAACGAGCCAGCTGCAGGATCCAGCTCAAGCAAAAAGCCCCTGAGCCTTGCCAGAATGCCCTCTTTTATTTGATGCAGTCCACACACCCAAGGAAAATCCCTTTCAACTGATTGGCAAATCACAGCATATCCCATCATGGGGGTGATCACATCAAATCTCAACAGGGGAGTGATCACAACATTTATACGACTGCCAAAACACTGAGAATCACGGCAGAGCCAAGTTGACACACAATCTTAACCATCACAGTAGCCGAGTGCTTAACCACTGCACAACCAAGGCTCCTTTAATTAGTCATTACCCCATTGCTGTTGAGTTGATTTCAACTCACAACGACCTTGTAGGACAGAACTGCCCCATAGGGTTTCCAAGGCTGCAACCTTTATGGAAGCAGACTGCCACATCTTTTCCTGTGAAGCAGCTGGTGGGTTTGAGCTGCCAACCTTTCAGTTAGCAACCGAGTGCATAACCACTGTGTCACCAGGGTTCCTTTTCATTAGTCATCATCATTGTTAGGTGCTGTCGAGTTGGTTCTGACTCATAATGACTCTATGTACAATAGAATAAAACAGTGTCCAGTCCTGTGTTATCCTCACAATTGTTACTATGCTTGAGCCCATTGCTGAAGCCACTGTGTCAATCCATCTAGTTGAGGATCTTCCTCTTTCGCTGACCCTCTAATTTACCAAGCATGATGTCCTTCTCCAGGGACTGGTCCTTCCTGATAACATGTCCAAAATATATGAGATGAAGTCTCACCATTCTTGCTTCTAAGGAGCATTCTGGCTGTATTTCTTCCATTAGTCATTAGGGGGATGCAACTCAAAACCACAGCTGAGATACAAATGTACCCTCACTAAAATGGCTATGATTAGAAAAAAACAAAATAGCATATGTTGGCAAGAATG